TTTAGGAGCAGAGGAAATGTGGGAGGTGGTGAAGAGGCTCTGAGAGAGTGAATGGCTGGTTTCCAAAAGCAGATACAACTGTGCTGCTCCAGAGGGGACAACTTGAACCAACCTTCAAATGACAAGAAAGGCGATTCTGACTAAACCTTAGGAAGAACTTTCTGAGAGCAAGAACTGTTCAACAGTGGAATGGACTACATCAGAAGGTGGTGGACTCTTCTTCGCTGGAGGTTGTTAAACAGGTCGGGTGGCCATCTGTCGAGGATACTTTGGCTGTGATTCCTGCATTGCAGGGGGTTCCACTAGATGACCTTTTGGGCTCCCTTCCAACTCTACAGGTCTATGATTCTGTGACTAAGCCACTACTTGGAACCAGTTAGAGGAACACGATGAGCCTTGAAACAAGATAGATGAAAAAGTTTTATAGAGGCAAGAAACACCCAGACGTATATGCAGGATCATAAGAAGAGGTGATTGTGCTCTCTGGGGTAGAAAACAGTGGAGTGTTCAGACATCTTGGAGAAAGGCAACTCTTAATTCAAGCCTAGTCTAGATGTTCTTGTAAATAACCATCATTTCTGTAAAGTTTCATTTTGGGGTGCTCCAGAAACCTGTTGACCTCAGATTCCATGGCATTTTGGCCTCTCAGATGCTGCCTTTTCACTTTCTTTTTAAACAGAAGAGCTCAGTTCAGAGAAATGAAATGAAATTGGTATCTAAAATAAGGCTACAGAAAAGGTCACAGTGGGACTAATATGCTATAGCTAGCTGCTTTTGGAGTCAAGAAGGAAAAGGCATTTCAGTAAGATAACAAAGAACATCTACTGCAGTAAGAGGCTGTTTTGACAAGAAGGCTTACACAGTTTGAGGGACCCAGAGCTGCCAGATAATCTGTTAAAGAAAAGTATAGGAACTTTATGTAGAACCATAGTTGAACTCCTGACTGAAGTTTATTAAAAAGTAACTTCCTTTATAGGCACAGGGTGTTTCAGAAGTGTCCTACTATGAAATTTCCAGAATTAACTGCTGCTAGCCACCACCAAAAAGCACAGCCCAAGGCCAAATGGAATAGCCTGGCATGGCTCATTTTATACCCCAGTGCTAAGAATGCTTATGATGTGCTTAAATATCAAACTGCAATTGCTACATCTGCAAGATCTGAACCTTTAACATGTCTAGGGTGTCCCTTTATTTTATTTATTTTTTTAAATCCCAATATTTAAAAACTGGTTCTTTAAAATAATAGTAACAACATTGTGTTGGAACACAAACAGGTCATCAAACAGCGAAGCAACAACCTAAAATATTTCAGCTGCTCAGAAAACTATTACAGAAGGCTAAGAGTTCAATGCGACCAATTTGTTATCAGATTAAAGCACATTAGTCCTCATAGGGCTGTTTCATGATTTAATACTGGGAAAGTAGATTCCTTGGTCTGCGTGTTTCCAACAATAATTATGAGGTTTGTGCTTCATATTCCCTTGCTAATTTTGTTAGCCCAGTTTCTTTATCAGCTCTGCCCATCTTGCAGTACCAAAACGGAAACTCTGGGATCTGAAGCTTACTTTGCTTCCTGCTTTGAACTTGAGTGCTAATCAAAAATGCACTGAGTTTATCATGGTCCCTCACTTTGTTTGAAAAAGTTTGTGAGACCAGCTCAAGGAATATGAAAGAGGTAGTTTCAGAGATCTACACAAGGTTATTAGATTATCAATTTAGGGAGGGCTCAAACAATTGTGAGAAGCTGATATTCAGGGGACTATTTCTTTCTTTTTTCCTGTGTGATAGCCATTTTATCTCTGATGGAGAATGGGCAGCTTTGTGACGTGCGTCCACCTTTAAGCCTATATCCATTAAAATGAAGGAATCCATGTTAAAATCTGTGCATCAATGGCACTGGACATCTGTAAGACCTCATTATATTAATAATTCCTTATCACCCATTTGTTGAAGAAATGTCCAAATCTTGGTGCATGGATCCCTCTCTGGTGGGAGATTCCAGAAGCACAGACATTTTGGAATGCAGTTATTGTAATCCTTAGTGATCTCCTTCACAAAGACATTGAAATAAATCCTTATTTAGAAGGTGCAACAAGAATCTCCCTTGTAAGAATCTGACAAAACACCTCCTTGTGGCAGCATGCATGGAGCTGGGCTTACATTGGAAAGACGCAGGCTGATGTACTGTCTGCAAGTGGTATGACAGGGCATAGAACTTGACTTTGACTGATAAACTTACATAAAGCTATAGAGTGAAGACTGGAGAAATAATAATTGGTTTATATTTATTTATTTTATTAACTATAACACGGAGGGACCTAGATGGAACATACATCTTTTTGGCTGCTATTATTTTCTGTCTTATACATACCACGACTGTATTTTGCATTGTACCTGGTGTCCAATATCCATTATTTGTATTGTTTCATGTTATTTGTAATAACCAGTAACATATATATATAACCAATAACACACACATATATATAAATATAAATAGGGAGAGCGCTTCATTAGCAGACCCAACAAGGTGCCTGCAGTGGCAACTGCTGCCTGAATAGATCAATAAGCTAATTCCAATACTCAATATACTCTGGCTATTCAGTATTAGATCTCACCTTGCTCTTTCCTCATCTATCATGTTGTGCCCAACATCATTTATAAGTTACTAGCATCACAGGCATTCTCTAGCCTTATTCATATATCACTTGTGTGTTGGGGGGTGTACCATGGAATCAAGAGTTGGGCTGTACTTTTAGTTGACTCTGACATCCCAGTCATGTGGAGTCCCTACGCATGAGCAGGAGCTTGCACATTGGGGTTTCTTTACTGACACCCACAGGCCACATTCAGTTGTGGGATGAAGTTGCAGGCAGGCCTAAAAGTGCAGCCCTGCTCCCGGTTCAATGCAGTATTGCCCTATACAGTTGACCCTCCGGATACGAACTTAATTTGTTCCAGGGGTCTGTACATACCCCAAAAAGTCCACAACATGAGGTGCCACTTCTGCACATGCACACAGCGCGATAGAGGGCTTCTGTACATGTGCGCGTGGCAAAACCCAGAAGTATACACTTCCGGGGTGTCCATGTTCGCAACCCGAAAGTTACGTTACCCAAAGGTAAAGTAACCTGAGGGTCCACTGTACGTGAGTCACATAGGAATAAAGCTTTTGTACGCATGTCTTTATCCCAGCTTATTCAACAGGCAGAATAGAAACTGCTTTTCTTTTCATTTTTGAGGGTCTACTAGCACCTCCTTGTAGGTGTCCTTGACAACGTGTTGAGCAGGACTCCTGCTCCTCAGATGTGAACACTTAGAGACCAACAATGATTTTTAGCTGATATGACTGACTGACCTATACATACACGTACTTGCTCTTGTCTACATTCAGGTGGAGAAGGTAATGTGCAAACTGGAAGTACCGTGCTAAATGAAATTGCCGCAATCACATTCACAACAGCCCTTTTGGAGTTGGCATGACTTGAATCAAGGGCAAGCAATTGTGAGGTCTACTTTAGGAGTCTGTGTGCCTCCTGGGTATCCAAGCAGCCCCACCAGCTCCTTCCTTGGCTTCACTCTCACTCATTCTGACTGCTCCTGTTCCATCCTCTTCCTCTAACTTTCTCTTCCTGCCTGTAGCCACCCCCTGTGCATCACTTTTGGATCCCACTAAGATTTAACTGCCTTGGACTGTTTCATGGCCTCCTTCAGCTGTGACCTCATGGTACTTAACTGCTCCTCTCACTTTTTGTAGGAGCTGCCTGGATCCTGTAAGCTTTGAATTGTCTGTCCAGAATTGGCCCACATGATTGATCTTCTGGTTCAAATAGTTATTCCCCTTGATGGTATTTTGGTTCCTGTATAACTTCTTCCACACATGCAAACAACAATGAACCTGAGGGCATTAGTGAAGGAAATTTGGGGGCACTGCTATAAGAACCATTGCCTTAAGAACACAAGTTCTTTCATACATGCTAAAGTTTACCTTGAGCACTTGAGAAAATCCATTAAACATTCCAGACTAGCTTAGTGTCCTGACTCTAGTAGAATGAAAACAAAAAGCTTAATGTTTTTTCATTCAATTTGTTTTTGCAGGTCTTTAAAATAATCTGCATATTAACTTTAGCACAGAAAATAAGCATTTGTGCTAAAACATTTTCCCCCACTACAATTTGATTTGCCAGACATAATGCATTAGCAAAGAGCACACTTGATCTTTAGAAAAACCAGTTGCATTCCAAAGCATAACATGTGGGCTTCTGAAAAGAAGAGAGATTGCACTTACCTGTTTTTAAAGCAAATATTAGATCATCGAACTCTTGTGATTCTTCATCAGCCACTAAGGAGCCGCTGCTGAACCCTCCCGGAGTTGCGTAGGCACTGCCATTGTGTGGGCTCTGTTTAAAGGCAGCACTGGCCTGGCTGCCTGGCCTTAGAGATGCCCTCTCCCAGTCTGCAGGCATCTTTGGGAAAACATTGAGAAAGAGGCAGAGGATTACTCTCTGCATTATAATTTGCAGGCGTCCCTCAATCTTCTAGTGATATGACTAGAGCAGGGATAGGGAACTTACATTGGATAATTAAAACATTCCTTTTAAGGATGATTTTTAGGTCATTAATGGTTGTGGCCTTACTGAAGTTGTTGTTGTTTTTTAAATGAAACTGGCTAAATGATTTTTAATAGATTGCAATTTTTATTCCCTCTCTGATATTTTAGTGGTTTTTGGCTGCCTTTAATGGACTATGGTCATTTTAAATACTTTGGACAGGATCACTAACAAACCCTATCAGCAGAAGTCCTGTGCAGGGGCTTCTGCAATGGGGATTTCTTCCATTCCTCCCCGCTGACACCATACCCCCACCCAAGCTGGCTTTGAGAGGGTCAGGAGAAGGCCCACCCCCATCCACAGCTCACAGGTGGAGGAGAGACTGTTCCATCTGGTAAGCTGATATGAAACCTTTGGAACAGCAAAATGTTCAATTCCACCCTTTACAATTGTGTGTGTGTGTGTGTGTGTGTGTGTGTGTGTGTGTGTGTGTCTGTGTGTGCGCGCGCATGCACACACACACACACACACACACACACACACACACTTAATATTACTAGCTGCCTTGAGCACACTAAGCCCAGGTATGAATAAATGTTTTAGTGAGAAAGAAACCCAACTTTTGTCCAAGCTACTATTACTACTAATACTACTAGACAGGCAGCGTTGCACAGCAGTTAAGTTTGGACTTGGCTATCTGAAGTTCAAATCCCTGCTGAACTGTGAAGCTAACTCAGAGCCAACCAAAACATTATCTTTGATTGAACTGCCTGTTGCAGAAAAAATGCAGGTTCGTACCTGTCCACACACACACACACACACACACACACACACACACCCTCCAATGGGGCTTACAACATAGGAAAAGGATTAACCCTCTGCCCCTACTTATCCCTGCTTTTAAATTTTTTTAAAAATAGGCAGGAGGCCAGCTGTGTAACTTGTAGTTTGACGCTGAGCAGTTTAAGCAAGTCACTATCCCTCAGGATTGGTTGTGATAATAAAACTCCATGCTGAGGAAGGTCAGGATGCAAGCCGAATGAACATTCATCATTTTATATGGCAATTTCAATTAAGAAGTGCTCCTGAATTCCAACATTGCTTTTAGGCGCCCAGCTGACGGATGATGTCAGCAACACATTACCTTACCTTTGGCTAATTCAATAGCTGGGACCATTTGTAGAGACTAAGGACTTATTACAGTGCAGTCCAAACCCAAGATGTGCCAAGGTGAGTTTGGATTTCATGGATCTTGGGCTTTCCCAGATGAGCCAGGGCTCAGCCAGCCCAATGGCTGTGTTACTTTCTCCCCCTGCTTAGCTGTGGCTCCACCGGCTCAGCTGGTAGAATTTAACAGAGTTTAACTTAATCCAGAATATGTCCCCCAAAGGGGGTATTCCAGGAGCATGGAGGAACCGCACAAGGACAGACATAAACCTATTCCAAATCCTGTATAGCTTGCTTATGTGATCTAGGGCCCAAACCGGAAAATGTGAGCACACACTCACCTGCCAGCTCAGTAGCCCCTCCCAGAGGCTCCTGGAAGGAGTTTGAAATAAGGGTAACTTATGCCAGTGCAAATTCTGCTAGCCTAAATTCTGCTGGCTTCTTAAGATTGAGGATTGCTGCATTGGTTATAATGCTGCAGTAACTTCTTCACTTTGCTGCAGGTAGATGGCCTTTCAAAATCCTCCACCCAGTCTGTGAGCAGATAAATTGGAGGGACCTTTTCACCATATTTCTTGTGGGGGTAAGTGAAATTCTCCAATAGTTTCTTGAAGGTGGAACTCTCAATCAGTAGACTTCTTTCTCTTTTTACTAAGGTTTTTCTCTCCCTGATTCTCTTTTGCTATTGCAAGAAACCTAGCCGTCATTTCGCATATTCCTAAATTCCCTAAACCCAGTGTCATTCTGGGGCATTACAGAGGGTAGCAGCAGCCACTACATACAAAATAATAATATTCCCCCCCCCCAAGAGGGCTTTATTTTCTAGAATGAAAAAGAAATCTGAGAAATAACAGAAAAAATGTCTTTGAGAAAAAGTGGTATTCTGATTGGCTACCATAATGTGGCACTGGCTCTGAAAATTCTCCAGAAATAACAACTTTGAAATGCAGAATTGGAGCTAGAAGTCATATGCATGGCAATATCATCATATATTTTTCTTAACCTGTACAATTTGCCAGTGTCTTTTCCAAGGCAAATTCAAGGTGCTGCTGTAGACTGTCAGAGCTCTAAACGGCCTGCATTCAGGATATCTTAGGGAGTGTCTTCTTCTGTTTCTCCTTCTCTCACGTCTTGTGAGTTAAGATCAAGCAGAGTCATTGCTCCAGGTGATACCACTGTCAGCATGACCTTATCCTCTACTAAGATAATGGTGGCGCCAGTATTACAGAATTCCCACCACCCCTGGAGAAATCCAACAGGCCTGCTCCACGGGAGTTTTTAGCTGACTAGTAGAAAAAGCCTTGCTGCTTCATCAGGCTTTCACTAATCTGTGTGCCCAGTTATCGTACTACTGTTGTCAAGGGTAGTACTATTAGTCTTCTTTTGTACTGTGTTCATTTATATTCTATTTTATGGTTGTAAGTAGCTTTAAATTTTTTCTAACATTGTGTTTTGATGCTGTAACCTGTCCTGAGACCTTAGCATGAATGATGGACAATCAATCAATCAATCAATCCATGAAATTGTTCCAGTCCACTTTTTTCTTTTTCTTTGAGAACCTTTCTTTGATGAAAACATTCCATAAACATGTAACTTTAAATAAAACTCACTTTGGACATGGTTACCGTCATGTTATATGTACAGTTTATAATCTGTATTTGATGTGCAGTGCTGTATATTAATTTCTCCACTACTAAATTGAGTGTGCTGTATTTGTGGACGTATGATATCTTTGATAATGAAAAATGTTTATTATTATATGCAAAAACAGTATAGTATTGTTAGTGCACTGCCAAAGCTTTCTATTGCTGCTACTGTGCCGGCGGGATTAGTGGGTTTGTTTTTTTGCATGTTGAATGAAACGTTAATGCTTCACTAGATTTCCCTCTCCCCATGGTATAATGTATTTATGAGTATGTTTTCAAATGTCAGTTGCTTGGAGACCTTTTAGATAACTAATAAATAAATTGGCAGCACAGTTGCACATGCAACCCCCTGCTCCCATCAACCCAGTTTCCACAAGAAACCTCCACATGTTGAACATAAAGGTGTGAAGAGCTTCTGTGTTTGTTCAGATGTGCTCAGCAGCCCCCTTCAGACAACTTCTTCCTCAAGTTGGGAAGTTTGGAAAAGTGCAGTGGGGAGAAGACATTGGGAGTGGGGCCAGCGCATGCACCCTTACACACTGCCACACTCATATCTCTGGCATGTGTTGCTCAGGTGCCCAATTGGGGCTTAAATGAGGCTGCAATCCTATATTCACTTACCTGGTTGTATGCCTCATCAAACTCAGCAGGTCTTGCTTCTGAACATGTAAAGAATCCCACTGCAAATAAAGTGCTTTGCAATTTTCAACACGTGTGCCCTTTCAACAACTTCAGGTAGGGAACTGAGACAGTTTCTAAATCTCTCAAGCCTATGCAATGAATCTGAGGCACAGAATTGAACGCAGATTTCTGAGAGCCACTAAACTATATCTGCTGGGTCACACAAGCTCATATTTGCATTTCAGGGTTTCTTGATACATTTACTTAGTGGGTGGTGTTCTGCTAATGAGTTGCATCATCAGACACCTTCTGTGCCAACTTTTAAATGCCTGCTGAAAGCTCTTCTGTTCTGCAAGATCTATGCAGGAAAATAAGAATATGTCTTTCCACAATGGTTACTTGATGTCTGTTTTTAACTTTCGCATGGTTTTTATTGTAAGGTTCTGTGTTTCCATTGCTGCAAACTGCTTTGATCTGTCTTTATGACACAGTGGCATACAAATATTTTTTATAAATAAATAGAATAAAAAATAACGATTCCCACTTTTCTTCCTCCTCCACCCACATGTGCTACATGCTCTGTATGCCCTCGATAAATCTGCTCCAGAGGGTTGTTAGAACCACTTGAACAGATTTGGGTGGCGAAGTGGGAACATTTTATTGGGCAAGCAGAAATTTGTGCATTGACTGGATGATTTGCATAGCACTACATTGGATTCCATTCCACCCAGTACAGTGGTGCCCCGCAAGACGAATGCCTCGCAAGACGGAAAAACCGCTAGACGAAAGGGTTTTCCGTTTTGGAGTTGCTTCGCACGACGAATTCCCCTATGGGCTTGCTTCGCAAGACGAAAATGTCTTGCGAGTCTTGAGATTTTTTTCGCTTTCCCCCTTTATCTAATCTGCTAAGCCTTTAATAGCCTTTAATAGCCTTTTAGCAGCTAATCCCTAAGCCTTTAAGCCTTTAATAGCCGCTAAACCGCTAATAGTGCTAATAGCGCTAATCCGTCAATGGGCTTGCTTCGCAAGACGAAAAAACCGCTAGACGAAGACTCTCGCGGAACGGATTAATTTCGTCTTGCGAGGCACCACTGTATATTTTTTCTTAATATGCTTCGGTAAAGTAATGCAAGTACCTCTTCCATAGCAGCAATGAGGTTCTGAGTAGATTTGCTGATCTCTGCTCCTGCTGGAGGCATGCCGCTACCATGGGTGAAGAACGCAGAACCTGGACTTGTATGCCCATTCATTTCAACTGTGTAACTTGCTTTCACAGGGCAACAGAGCTGGTTGTGCAGAATAAAATAAACCACGAAGACATAAAGACCCTGAAAAGAAGGGAGTGAGGGGGGTGCAAAGTAAGCTTCCAAGTATGACATGAGACTGCTTTAAATACGTTAAGGAACACCTTATGGTGTTTATATGTTGCGTTCAATGACATACAATTTATGTACCCAATTGTTGAGCTGTACACCTGTATTCACACGTGATGTACAATGAGTGTACAGTATGCCCTTGTGTACTCAAGAGCTGAGATGTAAAAATCAACAAGTGTACACTCTTTCACAGAAACACTTGCAGATATGTTCAGTGTAACATATAGGAACAGGGTTTGTGTCGTGAGAAGATTCTATGCAGAGCGGCAGATTTTCCCTAGAATCTCAAGTGACAACAGTTCAAATGATTATACTGTACATTAAAAACAAAAACAAGAGAAGGTGTCAAAATAAATAACTGCCATGAAAGGAAACAGCAAGGTGATGCCCCCAGGGACTTTCTAGAGAGAAAAATAAGCACTACGTGTTTCTTGTTTAAACCCACTCATCTTTGGAGGTAAGCCAAGAGTGGGGCAACAAAGATTTGAATTTATCACAACAGTGAGCAAAGAGGCCTTGGATGGACCAGATTTTGATCTACCTTCTGTCCACCCCTGCTCTGGATCTCCTCTTACCATTATTTCCTAACAGTCTACTAGGAGGAGGTGGGACTATTACAACAGACCCCCTCCCTCCCTCTCAGCAGCAGCAGCTCGCTGTCTGCAAGGCTCTCTCAAGTCAAGCAGAGAAAGCTGCTTTCTAAATACTCCCCCAGAATCATGTCTGAGTCATGATCAGG